CTGTTGAAGAACCATACTGATTGATGAGGTAACTTGGCTAGTTACAAGTCGTGGTAGCTCATATTCATACTTAACAGGTTACCGGGGCTCCGGCTCGAAGTGCAGGAGTAGGAACGGGGTGGTATTTAGTCAGTAAGGGTCTGACACTCTTTCTCACCTCACCCAGGCGGGAGAAGTAATTCGATAATTATCGCCCCTTTAACCTTTTGAACGCCAGAGCAAAAACGCATGAACTTGCCCTCAACGCCAGGCCACAAATTCACCGCAAATACCTACGAAAAAAATAGGGATTCCAAAACTTCATCGATAATCAATTTTATTTTCATTTTCATCTTTAATTTCGAAATATAATGTCCTTATAATATTGAAATTTAATTCAACATTACATTTCTTCCTATTAAAGTAATAGTTATATACTATTTACAGACTTGTATAATACCGTAATAACAGATATGAGACTACAATATATTTAAATATAATAACTGTAGGTACAACACTATTCTTGATCTGCTGTCTTCATATTGTGACCATGGCGTGGACGGCCCGCCATTTTAATAACTACTTCGCTTCCGAAATAAGGATGTGGCAACGTAATATCTCGTTTATCGATGTTCTAGTACAATATTATTTTATAATAAATGAAACACGTTTTTTAAATCAGATTTATAATTCCGAATGTAACAGGTACTTAAAAATATATGATTGAAATAGGTTAAGAAGGTAAATAAAAACTATGAAAAAATAGAAAATTTTAATAAAATGTTATACAGTATGTACTATGTACCAAATTGCATAAAATGGCATAAAAAGTAACAAATTAAAACAATTAACGATTATATATAATTATCACAATTACCAATCAGTCTTATACTAATAAATCTTTTGAATAATAGAACAAAATTATACAAAATCTACAATGCAACCTGCATTCTGATCATCTAATTCGCTGGGTGCAAAGTGGGTGGTGGGGACAGTGAAATCGATCTCAGCGCGCACCGTGGCTAAAAAAGGACTTTTGGCAGACTTTATTCCACGAAGTTATAGGTAAATATGGAGCCAACACTTAGAATAAAAGTTTCGAGTCAAATACTCTCGCTCCTATTCTCTGAGGCAAACTGAGGTCTGATCTCTTTTTCTAGTGTACTAAAGAAATTGAAACAAACTGACCTCAGACAGTAGAAGAGAAATAAAAATTCAAGTAGGTATTTCAAGTGTGTACTGTGTACTCCATCTTTACCTACACCTTCATGCTTTATTCACTGCTTACTCCTCGTAAAGACAATGACAGTCAACTATTTAACGTACCAAGGTCCGCCGAGTCCGCCGACCGCTAGTTGGCGCTGTCATCGCGCACCCAGCGAATAGTAAGCCATGTGTTATCAGGCATAAAAAAGTAACAAATTAAAACAATTAACCATTATATATAATTATCACAGTTACCAATCAGTCTTATACTAATAAATCTTTAGAATAGAACAACATTATACAAAATCTGCATTGTATTATCTTATCATCAATAGTAAGCCATATGTAAATAAAATCTAATAAAAAAATTTTTTAAAATAAAAGCAGATAAAAATAACTTACCTCTAAATCAAATTCGTCCAAAGATTCTGTTTCCGAAAATTCTTCGTCATCTGAGACTCCTTCTAATATGCGAAGAAGTTCTTCCGTAGTCATTAAATTCCCACTCATTATAATAGTCACTTAATATAAATCTTGAACTCGATATCACAAGTAAATTAATCATAAATATTATTCATTCACTTCACTAATTTCTGGTCGCCGCGCTTGTGACGTCACGATATTGTCGTCTAATCGTGACCATGGCGTACAGGGTACTGATAATTCGGGTTGCGTTAGGGATGCGTTTGAGTTGGGATTAGTGAATATCGAAATTCGACCCAACCAAATTTTATTTTTGACTATGTAGCTTATTGAATGATTTTAAAGACTGGTTTTATAAAATTAATGCTGCTTTATCCTAGTACCAAATTATACCTAAAATAATATATTCCAGAGGAAAGTTTCGAATCGATCTTTGATTTGAAATAATGATATTATCCAACATGCGCTACATCACTAGCGGTCACACAGTTATGACTCTGGCGTGTGAGGACATTCTTTTTTCAGAGTTTATTTCTTTCTTTTTAACGTAAAATTTCTCAATATTTATAATGCAAATTAATTAGTTTTATGGAAATAAATAAATTTTGGACCTTCTATTTTACAGGTATATAAATAAATAGGCATTAAAGTAATGTTTAAATAGTTTATTTCGTGTTTTAATGTACCGCTGTTTTTGTCACATATTTGTGTCGTTGGCGCTCAGGGACAGTTTTCGCTTGTCACGTATTTGTGACCCTGGCGCTCAAAAGGTTAAAAAAATATCTGATATTAATGAGCAGAATTTTCGACACGATTTACGTCTCTCAATATTTGTGAAATTATGAAAATAACAATTATTTTCTACTTTGAAGTTCGTCTTTAAACGGAAGCTGTCTTTTGAGTCAGGAATCGAACCGCTCATTTATGACATTTTTAGTCGACCGAGCTATATTATAAATTTAAAAAAAATTACTTGTACCATGCACTTTCACACTTGTGCCTACATTCAGACAGGTGAAAAACTTGCGTCGATTGAACTATAAATCGATCGATCCGATTGTAATGTAGGTTAATGTCCCCGCCCTACATACTTAACATGGACTCGGTGAAAAAAAAACTCTTTATTAAAATTCATTTTTGTAGATAATTTGATAATGTTGAAGGGGTCGACAGAAGTCCACATAATGTATAAAAACGTCAAAATTAAGATTGAATATAACATTTATTTTGATAAAAGATCTTAAATTATTTACATAGGTATTTACAAAGTTAAAACAAAGAAAATCGATTTCCTTATTATGTAAACATACAGTGTGAATTTTACACAACTGATTTCACCCGGGTGTCGTATACCCGACTAAGACACTCCACATTAGACAGAGACCGTGTAGCAGCGCTCTCTGATAAACCTGAACCTTGTATACTGCGACCTCCAACCCGCCTGCCTGCGGAGATTGTGACAAACCCTCTTATGTAGAGGAGACTCATAGTGCAGTAGTGGACCGTGTAAAATTCACACTGTATAAAGATATACGTACTTAGATAAAATATGTAACATTTAAGTACCTAAGTATAGATTTTTACTTATGAATTTATTGATCAAAGCGTGCGTAGCCATTCAAAATGTAATTTACAAATATTACCTACATTTTTTATAGGTAAGTATATCCATATACTCTGATAGTAAGACGCTTTTACAGTATAGTTTGCAAATAGTACATAAATAAAGAAACAATCCATCAAAACACTGAAGTCCGTGCCACAGGAACATGAACAACTGTCTTGGTTCCCGCAACGAAGTGAATCAGAACAGAGTGAAAAGCACGAATAACTATCGCATTCGTAACGTAATAGTATCGAGGGCGTTCGGCGCTCTGATTGGCCGGCTCAAGTGAACCAACCAATCAGAACGCTTAACTCGCTCGATACTGTTACGATACGAATGCGATAGTTATTCGTGCTTGGCCCTCAGTAGACCTTATTCATATACAAATTCTATACTGGGGCAGAGAAGTGCAAGGAATTACCTCGGCTCTATGCAGGAATAGGAACGAGGTGGTTTTTAGTCAGTTTTTTTTAAGGGGGGAAAATCATCGAATGACTGCTACCGCCTGGGTGAGGCGGGAGGGAGTGTCAGACTCTTACTGACTCAAAACCACCCCGTTCCTTCTCCTGCGCTTCAAGCCGGATCCCCGGTAACCCGTTAGGTTCTCCGCGACTCCGAAGCGGCATCAGCCCTATTGGGCCCCATCCGTGATGGTCTGATGGCCCTTTGAGGAGCGCGCGGAACGCGACGCGCCGTACACTCGAGGGTTTTTAGTCAGTAAGAGTCTGACACTACTTTTTGCCTAACCCAAGGCGGGAAGTCATTTAATGACATTTCTCCCTAAAAAACCTTATTGATATAATACATTTGATATTGCCATGTGATCAATGCGATACAGGGTATCCCTAAAGTCGACGATCAAAAGCACCAGGTGATCGGCAAGGTTCCAACAGTTATCAGAAAAATAATAAAAAAAATCCGAGTGATATAGTTTTTAAATTACAATGACTTATGTGTTATCCACGAAAAAGTACACCCTGAGTCAGTCTTTTGACTCTTGTTGCTTCAATTCTTTATTTTTTCGTCTGTATTTTTGTTTAGGTACGATATCCTGGATAGTGTTTCAGTGTTATGAAGTCATAAATAGGGTAGATGTCTAATTTTTATTTTAATGTCCGCCTGGTAGATTATTTTAAATCATTAGACACGTGTTTTTTATTTTCTTACAGAAACGAATACTTTCGACGATATATTGATTTAAAATGTCGCGTGACGTCACTTCTATGTACATTTTATACGTAGAAATGACGTTTTAGCCCCCACTCCTAAATGTTTTATTATACGACAAAATAAAAAATATGTGTCTTATATTTTTTCATTACCTAACTGACGGATTAGATTTTTAATTTTCATATTCTGTTATCATCAATAGGGATGAACCAACTTTAGCTTTAGTTTAGAAAATAATATAATATTTTGATGAACCAATTAGTATCCTCAATAAAAATTTTGTCTTAGTAGTTGATCGTCAAGGGACGATCTCCGTCCACCATAAGCGCGGGCCTGCAGACGGCGAGCATGGGTGGCTCGCCATCCGACCAGAACCAGACCCAAACGTACGGCGCCGAGCGTTCCGCGCGCGCCTCAAAGACCCATCAGACCACCACAGATGGGGCCCAATAGGGCTGATGCCGATTTGGAGTCGCGGAGAACCTAACGGGTAACCGGGGCTCCGGCTCGAAGTGCAGGAGTAGGAACGGGGTGGTTTTTAGTCAGTAAGAGTCTGACACTCCCTTCCGCCTCACCCAGGCGGAAGAAGTAATTCGATGATTTTCCCCCTTTAAAAAAATGTAGTTGATCCTCGACCTGTATATGACGTACGGCGCTGATTGGCCTACTCGAATAAACTTACCAATCAAAGGGCTAAACGCTACAACCACTTGTTACTTTACATGGTAGGAATACTACTCATTCTCCTCTTATACCCATGTGAAACCTTAAGATGTTGTGTCAAATTCATCCGAGACTTGAATATCTTGTTTGGGCAGTGTGGGCACTCCACTGAGGCTGATTCTGGTGGATGCACGTATTTACTATGCTGGTGTAGACAGAGGCGAGACTTAAACTCTTTGCCGCAGACCATGCATTTATGGATCTTGTTGCCTGTAAGAAAAAAGATTGATGTGTCAAAACTGAAAAGTGGTCAAACGTCGGCGCATCAACTGTAAAAAAAAAGTATTTCAGAAAAGGGGAAGGGTTTTTTTTTAACGTTGCCCCACACTAGGATTGTCTCCTGTGTCGTGGGTGCAGTTACAAACATACAAGTTCACATACATATAACACCCAGACCCGGAAAAACAATCTGTGGATCACACAAAGAATTATTCCGTGCGGGAATCGAACCCGCGACACGTTGCGCGGCAGCCAGTTGCCCAGCCACCGCGCCAACCGTGCAGCCATCAAGTTTATATGATGACAATGAACAGAAATGGCAAAATGTGTGGGAGAGCCATGAGCCATGCTTCGGCACGAATGGGCCGGCTCGACCGGAGTGATACCACGGTCGAGCAGAAAACAGACGTGAAACAACGCTTGCGTTGTGTTTCGTCGTGTGATTGAGGTTACCGGAGGCCCAATTTCCCCCTTCCCCAGTCTCCCCAATCCCCGAATCCCCCACAATCCTCAAACTAATCCCCAAAAGGCCGGTAACGCACTTGTAACGCCTCTAGTGTTTCGGGTGTCCCTGGGCGACGCCGATTGCTTACCATCAGGTGATCCGTCTGCTCGTTTACCAGCTTATGCCACCTTACTCTTGCTGTGGGAAAGAGTCGACCAAGGTAGTTGTAGTAGTAGGTTTAAGGTAGTTCGGGCAGCACCTAATGCTCTCTGACAATAATTTGAGAACTATGTATTTAAATAATGATCTCCAACTTTATAACAGGAATCTCCAACTCCCTGCCAAGGGTGGAGTTTATAGCAGCAAGAGTGAGCAAGGGGTCTCTGCCTCAATTCCCAATACCGGCAAAAAGTTTGTTAAACTTTAAACTTTATAAAATTTATAAAATTCTTACTAATTGTATTCAAAAAAGACTGCCTCGTTGGCCGAGTGATCGCAAGTGCGACTGCCGGGCAAGGGGTCTCGGGTTCGATTCCCAGATCAGGCAAAGTATTACTTGGTTTTTATTAATTCTCACCCCCTATTACATGGGACTCTGTTACATTCTACAGTGGCATAATGTACACTTCTGCCTAGTGCCTGCCCCTTCGGGGATAAAAGGCGTGATGTTATTGTTATGTATGTATTCACAAAGAACTCACCGCTAGGATGGACATTCCTCTTGTGGTTAGACAGATACTTCAACGACCTGAACTTTTGACCGCAAAGCTCACACTCTTCGGAATCCTCAACCGCTTCATGCACCAACTTCACATGCTCTCGTAAAGTCAACTTCGATTTAAAATTCCTATTACAACGACCACAAGTCAATATCACATCAGGTTTCCGATGCTCATTCAACAAATGTTCCTTCAAACAATACTTTGGTAACTCCAAAAGACATATCGGGCAAGACACCGGTTCCAGCAATGCCTGCTGGTCAGCCATATAGTACTTTGCTTCAACATCTCGAAGAATCTGTTGGAACGTTTTCCTCTTCCTGACTTTCTGTTCCGGTTGGCATTCTTGTCGATGTATGTTCAGGAGTTTGCGTTCTTGGAACGTAGTCTGGCAGAGTTGGCATTTGAAAAGGACCCGTCTGTAGTTGTGTGCGTTCATCATATGGTCTGATAGTAGAGTTGAGTCGAAGTCTTCGAGGCAATGTAAGCAGATCATCATACCGGTCTTCGGGTCCATCATTGCGTCCGTGGAGTTGAATTCTATCGGTTCTTGGTTTGATTGGACGCATTGAGCTAGTTCTAGGAGGGCCCTGGAAAAAATATAATACACATATTATAATAAGGAAACATTTGACTGTTTGTTCGTAATTTTCTATTCAGAAAGCTCTGAAAGTCCTGACTGCCTCATTGGCCGAGTTGGTCACAAGTGCGACTGCCGAGGGTCTTGTGTTGGATTCCCGAGTCGGGTAAAGTATTACTAAGTTTTTCCAAATTCTCAGTAGTAGTACGGAGTCTGGAATTGTGCCCGGTATATGGCAATAGGCTCACCCCCTATCACAGGGGCTCATAACATAAATAGTGAAAAGTGGGTGTTACATTGTACAGAAGCATAAATGCCGTAATGGGCACCTCTGCCTACCTTTTCGGGATAAAAGGCGTGATGTTATGTTCTGAAAGCTCTGAATCTGATATACCAGTGCACAATTAATATATACTTTTCTTTATTTCTTACATTAATTTTAGTTGTACTTACCTCTATATAATTTAGTTTCTATTTATTTAAGCCCTAGTTATTTATTATTTATTTAATAGGCATCCTAACTTAAGATTTCACTACTATCAAAGACCCTGATGAAATATAGCAATAAAACAAATTGATATTAAAATATACTAATTTAAAAATCCATTTTGATTGCATTGAATACACTCTGAATCTAATAAACTGATTAGAAAGGTCCTTTGCAATTGGAATTTCAAGGAATAACACCGGTTACTGTTTTCTCCCATATTTCAACAGTATCAAGACATAGTCAAGGAATTTTTTTTTATGGAATTGTAGGCATATGAGCAGACGGATCACCTGATGGTAAGCGATCAGCGCCGCCCATGGACACCCGCAACACCAGAGCAGTAAGTCAGGTGCATTGCGTACCTTATACAAATTAATAACTATGCTATTTTCTTGAAGGATCGAAGGTCGTATCGGTTCGGAAATACCGCCGACGACAGATCATTCCACAGTTTTGCTGTGCGACGCAAAAAGCTACGTGAGAAGCGCACAGTTGTGGCCTGCCCACCATCTATATGATGGGGATGCATATGCAATTGGAATTCATATGGGCATGGGCTAGTAGTGGGTATATTTTATATGTACCTCTACTGACCTTTTTGGGGATTTAAAAGCGTGATGTTACGTTTGTATGTAATTCCAAAGTAAGTAATATTAATATAAGTAAGTTATGTGTCGGCGATTATCTTTAGGTGCGGAATTACGTCTTTACGTTTCAACTACCTACTCAACCAATCTTCTAGAAACCTTGCAGACGCGGGCAAAGCCAAAGGAAAATGCTAATAGGCAAATGCAAAAACTACAAAAGGCGACCAACTCATTCCCCGATGATAACATGACAAAGTTATATCGTAGCAAACAACAATAATAAAAAACTAACATCGTATTGTAGTGATCATCTTCGTTCTCCTCCTTGATTTCCGCCTTCACCGTCACTCCTACATCGTAGCTGCTTCCCTCCAGCGGATCCGTCTCCATTTCCATCATGAATTATGTTAGTTTTACACGGTAATAACAAATAACATAAGTACCAGATTACCAAACGCGAACTGATAACATCGTCGACAAAATGTCAAAACAAAAATCGATTTGACGTATCAGCTTGTTGACGTTTGACAGTTATAGTGATGTTGCTATTACTTCACTTTGTTTTGTCGATAAATCTATATTAAATTTATATAATTCAAAGGTGACTGACTGGCTGACTGACTGACATAGTGATCTATCAACGCACAGCCTAATCCACTGGACGTGTTGGGCTAAAATTTTGAATGCAGGTAGATGTTATGACGTAAGCATCCGCTCCAAAAGGATTTTGATCATTTCCACCCCCGAGGCGGTAAAATAGGGTATGAAAATTGTCAGTTTTACACCGTTCGGGTTGAAATTCGGCGTGCAGGTAGAAGTTATGACATAAGCTGGAATTTTTAACCTTTTTTACCCGTCATGTGGTAAAAGAGATGAAACATAAAGGGGATGAATGTTTGTGTGAAACTTAGTCAGTTTTAAACCGATTAGGCTGAGATTTTGTATACATAAAGCTACTATGACATAGATAGCTTAAGGATATCTAAGGATTTTGATAAATTACACCCCTAAGGGAATAAAATAGGGGATGATAGTTTGTATTTTTTTTTTTTTTTTATTTGTTTATTCTCATAAATGTATACATTATTATTAAATATACAAAAATCGCCAAACTGTTACCAGTTTGTTGGCGATAATGGCGCTTTTAAGTATAAATCTTCTTAGCCATTGAATCTAGAATCATTGAATCTTTTTGAGTTACATTCAGTAAAACGATAATTTGAGACCTGGAAAACGATGTATGATAGGTTTTATCACAGAACCAGGAGTCTCTATCTCTTAACAACTAACTTATTTTAGAGAGATTCGGTACAATAACAGTCAACAGAATAGTTTTTATTACTCAAACCTTATGGGAACGGGCATTTTACTGGTACAATCCCTGCGGGATTATAGATTTTTGAAATCACGATAAATTATTTCACAATAAATCTCACTTAAGCACTGAATCGATTCTGATGAATTCTGCCAGAAGTCATTATTCTACGTGGACGAAGTCGCAGGCAACAGCTAGTTGAATATAAAATTCCTAGAAAAGTAACAATTTTGACGTTTCGACAAAAGTATTTTTCTTTGCTTAGTCAACTATATGGCGGCACTAATTTAATTTTGGTTATCATTTTTTGAGGTGTTAATTTAGCAAAATATGATGTTTTCATGCTCAACAGTTTATAATGATCAACAGTAGCCAATCCAGTATTTTTGACATCTATAATGCCCGGGATACACGAGGCTAGTTTTTCAAGCTAGGATAGCAAGCTAGTGTCAGTAAGCTAGCAAGCTAGTACTTCTGGCTTCGTGTAGACAAAACTAGCTTCAATTCTAAGCTAGTAAACTAGTAAGCTAGTTGACAAGCCAGGACAGTTTTTAATAGGATGGAGTTCTATTTTTAGGTAAGTAGCGCCCCCAACCACTGATTTTACTATCCTGGCTTGTGTACTAGCTTCATGTGGCCGGCGAAGCTAGTTTTCAGTTGACTCGTAAGCAGTAACCACGCGTTTGTTTTTCTCCGCGACGTGTTTTTGAGATTTAAGATGCCCAAACTAAGTACGGAGATTAATTTAAAGTTCGTACAACTGTACCGTGACCATGAATGTCTGTGGAACTCCACCCTTCCAAGTTATAAAGACAAGTGTAAACGTGATTCAGCGCTACAAAAAATGTGTGTCGAATTAAAGACAATTGGTATTGTTATGACTACCAAAGAGGTCAAAAGTAAAATACTCTTCAAAATAATTTAATTCGCAAAATACTCTTATATTCGCCTAAATCTTCGTTGCGAAATTCTTCCAAAAGTAAAGCAGACGATCCACGTTCTTCTCTCCTTAAAATCCACGGTCTTGTCCACACCCGTTTTTGTAATTCATCTTCTAGTTCGTCTAGGGCGAATTGGCACAGTTTTCGAAGTAACTGTTTCAGTCGAATAGTGTTTTTTTTTCGCGTGCAGTTCATTTTGGACGTGTGGTCACCTTGGTCACAGCAATAATACTAGCTTAAAATAATATAGCCTCATGTAAACAGAACTAGCATATTCCAAGCCAGGTCAGCTAGCCGACACAGTTTCAAAAAAGAACTAGCTTGCTACGCTAGCTTGAAAAACTAGCCTCGTGTATCCCGGGCATAACTGATCGTTGCGATTGAAAGGTCAAAATAACAGCATAATAAAACACAAGAAATTCAATAACTTTTCCTTTTTTATAAATTATTAAAAATAAATTGTAAAATTGTAAACAGATTACATTTTAAACATTTTGTACTGCACACCTATCACATAAGATTTGTCTAAAATATCGCAGACGGCTAAAAAGTCTTCTTTACTTCGGTATTTATAATACGCCGTCTCGGACTTCCATTTAGAACTAAATCTTGGGTCCAAGAAGAAAGGTTCTGGTGTCTGTATGTCCAATTCTTCGTCAGGAAGGGGTAACACTAACCTGCAAAATATAATATTACATTAATGTACCATCATGCGCTTTAACTCGTCGAGTACCGGTTTTATAGACACAATTAAAGAACAATAGGTCGCGGTCACCGGTGTCCGCTTGGTGTTTGACAGTTTAAGAGGATGTAGAAGAGGTATTTAGTCCAACAAGGGATTATCACGGGTTGTTGATGCAATGGAACAACGATTTGTATCACCTTGTGTTGTAACTTTGCACTTGTGTGATGATTATATTATTTACCTAGTAGCATGTAGGAACATTCGGTGCGGCATGCTGTCCTTTGTGCCGCTGTACGTGTAGTCACCGAGTATTGTGTGCCCGACTGCGCTGCAATGCACACGCAGTTGGTGACGGCGACCTAGACACAAACACAGATATTATTATAGTTAATAGTCGAGAAAAATAAACATCCATACATATACAAAAAGACGGGGCGACTTAAGTCGTGCGTCGTGGAAGCAAAGTTAACAATTTATGAACAATGTACTGAACTTTTATAAATTGCTTACCTGTAATAGGTTTTAGCAGTAGAACTGAGACGGGGCTGTTGTCGTAGTAGCCTGTTTCTAGCCGTAGACTACGCGTGTGTGCGTGTCGCGACTGAAGACATCTCACCGACGCTTCACTTGTGGTCAGCGCAGACATTCGGTGACTAGAGTCCGCTGTCGACGGGTCAACCCCTGTAAAAGTAAAATCACCATAGTCACAGCTATTAGACTCGTCGAGTATTAAACTCTAGAGGTTTCTATTCAGCCTAAAAATCTTACCGGTTCGGAAATCGAAAAGACGTTGTTGAAACGTTTCAAGAACAAAACGTTGTATAATTTGTGATTCAACTTACCAACATTAAACTCAATGTCAGCCACTTCAAACGTTACATGACCTCTTACAACAGCGAGATAATACTTCTTCGTTATTCGCTGTTCAAATAGTTTGCCCGCTTGCGCGGCAGACGATTTGTTCTTGGCAATACATAGCACGCCACTTGTGGCGTAGTCTAATCGTTGTACGAAGTGAAGAGGGAATAATGAAGTCGAGAGATGAGAGTCCGGTGACGCAATATGATATGTCACTGTATTCTGTAAAAAAAAGAATTAAGGAGAAGATTGAAGGAGTTTGAGGAGCTGGTCTTGAGTTGGTAGCTTAGGATAAGAGCAGGAAGAAGAAGCAGTAGGCATATGGCTAAATGAATTACACAAATGCAGTCCTGGATACCATGTACCACATCAAAATAAGTAACATAATCTGGCAACATTTTCTTCGATATCGATAAATATACCACACTGACACATCACTTGCCATAGCGAAGAGTTTGATAGTAAACATAACCTTTTATGAATGAAGTTTGAAGCGTTTATATACGAATTAACAAGCTTACCTTCTCATGTTCATCGTCCGAGTTGATATACATATCGTAAGGCTTATTTACGATTAAATAATTATCACTTTCATACAATTTTTCAACAGCCATCTTTGTTGACACAATACCCCGCAACCGCAATATTTCAATAATATGCGTTCATAAAAAGGAATTGTAATCCAATAATACTTGATTTAATATTGAAGATTTTTTTAATTCGAAAGGTTTATTATTTACTGAGTTTAAAGACCGAATACACTCGGAAACCTTAGGGCAAAATATCATTAATAGAGATTTAAATGCAGTTTGCAATGCTCTATCAAAATAAACGTTAAAAATATCCTCTAGTGGCATTTTGCCCAGCGGATACCGAATTATTTTATATAAGTTCCATTTACTTTAGCAAAGTTTAAAAATCACACTTACAATTTTTATGACACAGAAGACTACAAAACAAATGCCAGAGAAATTATCATTCTGACTGAAAGCTAGTCAGAAAACTAAATTATTGTTTTTATTTCCATTTTATCAATGTTACCAGTATTTGATTGAGTATTAGAAGAAAAATAATAATCATGAACGCATCCGTAAGTAGGTCAAAACTGACAACTTCAGACATTATAATGCCACAAAATTGCGGAGCCACTGTTGTATCCCGTTTTTTTCAACGGAAGGAGCTTTTTCATTCGGTCGAATAATATTCCCAATGTTTTTGTAGAATCACGAAGTCGCTCCAGCTTAATTTAAATTAAATAAATAAAAATGAAGCGATCGAAGCACAAAGTGAAAACAGAGACACCAGAACCTTCTGCGTCTACAAAATTAGAAGAAGTCCACGATTTGGCGTATTATATTCATGATCGTGTCGAGTTGATGCACCAAGTATTTTCTGTGATAAAATACAAGGAATTGAAAAGTATGTTACCGGCCAGCATTAGAAATATATCCATAGACGATCTGCAGGAACTATGTACGGAAGAGGTTGGATATCTTATCTTTGAATTACTTATTCAGATTTTATTTGTGTTGATGTCTCATATCACGATTAACTGTAAAAGATCTTGAAGAATCTGTCAATTTCTTCATGTTAATCACATATTTATAAGGTGAAAATATATTTCTAACGTAAAACACGCGCCAAGGTGTACATACTAACTATTTTTCACCAATTATGTTATGTTATGAGTCCTATGTACCAAGATGTGCTATATACACTAAGCATGACTTGAAATACTGTGCTATTACTGAAAATACACAATATTTATTTATTTATAAATACTATTAAGTACATATAGGACTTCAAAAAAGAAATATAGTGTACAATAGGTGGCCTTATCGCACAAGGTGAGCTCTTACAGGGAACCTTTTTATGGAGCTGTAATAGGAGCCAGATATGGGTCACTATTGCATTTCTTGACCCAGGTGTCCAACCTGAGACCTCTTACGCCAGTCCTGACCAACATAGCATAAAAAACAAGGCTGACAGAATATCAAAAATGTTAATTTTCATAACTAATTTAAATATTCATTTTTCATTCTATTTCCAGCTCCTCGGCATAAGTTCAAAACGACTCCTAGCAATACTAGATGGAGCAGAGCCGCCTTCAGACACAGAATCCTCGAGCCCATCACCTCCACCGGAGTTAGAGACAATATCACTGGACAGCATATCCTCTGACGATGAGATACTCAGCCAGGCCAGTAGTAAAAAGAAAAAGGTAATGACATTTTTGGTTTGGATGTTTGTCCGTCAATCACACAAAAATTACTTTTGATGAAATTTTGTGAGGTTTCCAAGACTTACCTAGGGTGGGAGAAGTCATTTGGTGATTTCTGCCCTTAAAAATACCTTCATTCCATGGCAATTGTAACTACAAGGTACTCTGGTTTATTAATAGGGTAGTAGACAGGGTATGAGCAGACTTTTTTTAAAAGAGTAACGAATGGAGTTTCTTGCTCGTTCTTCTCCACTCGAATCGACATTTTGGAACGAGCGCCTAGCTTCACTGACGGACAGACTGACAGACTATTAATTATTTCATATTTGTTGACGTTTCAAAAGTACCAAATTACGGTTTAATTCAAATATATGCTTTTGAGTTTGAGTTTATGAAAATTAAAAATATAAATAGTTTGTCAGTTAAATAATGAAAAATATTAGACACAATTTTGTTTTCTCGTATACAATACTTAGATAAAATGGCGTTAAGTTTAGGAACGGGAGCTTGCTACGTCACAGCATGCTACATTATATAATTTGATATTTCAAATTAATATATCGTCGAAAGTAGTCCAATTTGTGAGAAAAGAAAAAATACGTGTCTAATGATTTAAATTAATCTACCAGGCTGATATTAAAATAAAATTTAGGAAATTACCGTATAAGATTGCTCGAAATTCTGTGTTAAGCTGTGCCTACTAAGTGATGCCTTTCATTATAAAGCAGAGGGGTAGATAGCGGTACAACATAATTGTATTTTTTGAGGGATAAGCCGGCAAACGAGCACACGGATCATTTAATGGATGATAAGCAATCGGCGCCGCCCATGGGCACCCGCGACACTAGAGTAGTTACAAGTGCTTTATCGGCCTTTTCATTAGGAACTTGAGGATTGGGCAGATTGGGGAGGGGGGTAATTGGGCTTCCAGTAACTTCACCCACACGACAAAACACAATGCTGTGATTGTTTTACGCCGGTTTTATTCTTGGCCGTGGTATTACTCCGGTCGAGCCGGCCCATTCGTGCTAAAGTGGCTCTCCACACATTTATATAAAATCCAATTTTCCCCGAAACACTTCTATAAGAATTTACCTATACCAAGTCCAATTGCTCAATGAGAAAATAGGAATGAAACTCACCGCTTTGATATTGTGGCGACGCATGCCACATGTCAACGGATGACGTCACAAGAATCCTACATCGCACATGCAAAGTTTACAAGTGAATAAACACGGATAGAAAATCCCAACGAACAACTGTTGGGCAGAAAGCCGCCAGGCACGATCACCTCGCCTGGTCGGAGGATCCTCCTTTTCCGATCTTAGGGAACTATACTCTCTGTTCTCTAAAATATAATATTAATTTTCTTTTAATTACAGCACAAACACCGTCGCCATTCTAAATCGAAAAAGCACAAGAAATCCAAAGAGCAGGCTGAGTCCGAGTGCGACCGGAACAAGGCGTCTCGAGCCGGACTCACCGTGCTCGAGCTGCTCGAGCTACAGGCGCGGGCGCGCGCCATACGGGCACAACTACAGAATGAACAGACACGGAGTGAGTATGGCTACTGCCACGCAGCTTCACCTGTTCTGCTCGGCACCTATTGATCACAGCGTGATGTTTTATAGCCTCGATAAATGGACTATGCAAAACAAAAATAATTGTTTAAATTGGATCAGTAGTTTTGGAGATTTAAGTGTTACTAGCTTTTACCCGCGGCTTCGCTCGCGTCACAAAAGAATAAAAGTAGCCTATGTGACATATACCAATACACACAGCGCCATCTATACCAATACTTTTGTTTTCCCTCGGGAATATCAATTTTTCCGGGATAAAAAGTACCCTATTATTTAATAAGGACTTCTAACTTTACGTCTGCAAAAATTCAAAGCAATCGGTTGAGTAGTTACGGTGTGAAGGTGGAACAAACAAACAAACAAACTCACTTTCGGATTTATAATATTAGTAAGGATAATGTACTAGCTTTTACCCGCGGCTTTGACCGCGTGTTCCTGTTCTATTCTATGGGATATTCTATTCTATATAATCGGGATAAAAACTGAGTCAAGTTTAGGAGTGGGAGGTCGTTACGTCACGCTACATTATAAAATGCAGTAAATTTTGAAGTCACAAGATATTTCAAATCAATATGTCGTCGAAAGTATTTATTTTTGTGAGAAAAGAAAAAATACGTGTGTAATGTTTTAAATTAATTTATCAGACGGACATTAAAATAATTTTTACTTTAAAAAATTTAGTATACTACCCTATTGGAGTGTTACAATTTTTGTCTGTCTGTTTGTACTGGCTAATCTCTGTAATGGTTGGACCGATTTTGCAACAATGTTATTGGCAGGTAGCTGATGTGCTAAGGAGTATCATAGGCTACTTTTATATTTGGAAAATTTAAAGCAGCAGGACCACCTGATGGTGAGCAATCGGCGTCGCCCATGGACACCTGGAACACCAGAGGCATTACAAGTGGTTTCGGAGTTTAGGAGTTTGAAGATCGATGGGGATTCAGGGATTGGGGTGATTGGGGAAGGGGAGGGTAATTGGGCCTCCGGTAACCTCACTCACACGATGAAACACAACACAAACGTTGCTTCACGTCGGTTTTCTGCTCGGCCGTGGTATCACTCCGGTCGAGCCGGCCCAGCAGTGCCGAAGCATGGCTCTCGCACACTTTTCTTTCACACACGAATTCGGGGCAACAGCTTGTCTACTATATAAAAATGAGTCTGGTTTTCCTACCTGACGTTATTACTTCAGAACGCACAAACCGATTTCCACGGTTTTGCATTTGTTGGAAAGATCTCGGGCTCCGTGAGGTTTATCACATAGTATAAAACAAAAGTCGCTATCCGCCGTCTGTCTGTCCCTATGTATACTTAGATCTTTAAAACTACGCAACGGATTTTGATGCGGTTTTTTTTAATAGATAGAGTGATTCTTAAGGAAGGTTTACTATAAGAATCTTTATTGGGTCTTTTTTGATTTGTAACAAGCAAAAAAATTGATGTATTTCTGTCTGTCTATAGAACCTGTATCAGAGAGTACATCGAAGGAGCCAGTATCCAACTCGTCAGACAATGAAGTGGAGATCAAGGAGGAGCCGGCCGAGGTCGTGGAGATTAGCAGCGATGAGGAGAAACCGAATATTCAGGAGTTGCAGAGTAGTAAGTAGATAACTTACTATTAACTCGTCGAGTACCGTATTTAACTATTTATAGACACAATTAAAGAACATTAGGTTGCGGTCACCGGTGACCGCTTGGTGTTCGACAGTTTAAAATAAAAACCATAGAAAACTGTCATTTTCTTTCTTCTCCTTTAATAACACAACAACTCTCTTTTTATGCTGCGTCGTTGGCCGAGTGGTCGCAAGTGTGACTGCCGGGCAAGGGGTCTCGGGTTCGATTCCCGGGTCGGGCAAAGTATTACTGGGTTTTTAAATCTCAGTAGTAGCACGGAGTCTGGTTGGAATTGTGCCCGGTATATGGCAATAGGTTCACCACCTATTACATGGTACTCATAACATAAATAGTGAAAAGTGGGTGTTACATTGTACAGTGGCATAATGTGCACCTCTGCCTACCCCTTCGGGGATAAAAGGTGTGATGTTATGTTATGTTATGTTCTCTTTTTTATCCCCGAAGGGGTAGGCAGAAGTGAACATTACGGCACTTAAAGCCACAATGAAACGCCCACTTTTCACTATTTACGTTATGAGTCCCATGTAATAGGGGGTGAGCGTATTGCCATATTCCGGGCACAATTCCAGACTCCGTGCTACTATTGGGAATATTTTAAAAAACCCAATAATACTTTGCCCGATCCGGGAATCGAACCCGAGATCTTCTCCGGCAGTCGCACTTGTGATTTAAGTAATAAATTAATTACTGGCCACTTTTTCAATCAAGTTCTAAATTAAATACAGATATAGTTATTCATGTTCTGTATTTTTTTATTAAAAGAAAAATTATAATTTCACAGAAATAACTCAATCGGCATCAGAACCTGCACCCACAACGATAACCAAGAAAATAAACGACCTCGTAATCACAGTACCACAAAAAACAAAACAAAAAATAAAATTAAATCGACAAAAATCAAATACCACACAAGATAAAGAAAAAGATAAAGTTACCAGCCCTAAAAATTCTAACACTAGTGTTGCTACACCTAAAAATAGTAGTGAAAAAGAAGATAAAGCGAGAAAAGATAAAAGTAAGAAGAAGAAAAAGGAGAAGATAAGAAAAGATGACATAGACAACGATGAGATAACTCTGCAACTGTCTGATACTGAGAAAATGGATCTTTTGGAAGATCTGGATCGAAAACATTTCGATAATGTCAGTTCTTGTTCTAATTCCAGTTCCGAATCTAGTGATTCTGATGTTACAGAAAATAAGAAGGAAGAAGTAAAAAAAGATAGCACAGAAGTGATAAAAGATAAACCAGAAGTCTTAAAAGATAACTTAGTAGAGGTACAAGATAAGGCAGAAGTTTTAAATGATAACGCGGAAGTCTTAAAACATAAACCAGAAGATTTAAAAGATAAAAGTCCTGATGATATAGAAGACGAAAAAAATATAGAGACTACGCAGGAAGTTGACAAATCCTCTGAACAGGATATTAATATTAATAAAGAAGTAATACAAACTACAGAAATAACAGAAGATGTTGAAAACATAAAAGATGTTGGCGAAAAATCGTCTGATAAAGTACCAAATTCTGAAGAATGTGTAAATACAGATAGTATACCTACTAATAAAGATATACCAAATGAATGTTTAAATGAAGTAAAAAAAGATCTGTCAGATGGTGAATTGTCAGATAGAGAGAGTTCAGAAGTCGAAGCGATGGATTTAAAACCAGAAGTGGTTTGCATATCAGACGAAGAAGAAGACAAAAAAGGTAAAAAGAAGAAAAAGAAAAAAGATAAAAAGTCAAAGAAGAGTAAAAAGAAGGATTTTCGTGAAAGCGCCGATGAAAACTTTTACAAAGAAGATAAAATCAAAGAACATACTTCTGAAAAAATAGAAGACAAAATACACGACAATGTTAAAGATACTTCTGAGAAAGTAAACACAGAAGATTGTAGTAAAAATACTTCACAAGAAATAGACGAAAAGATCAATTTCAATGTAGAAGAAGAAGATAAAGATATAAAACAAGATTTAAATAATGTAAACACTTCGAATATAAATTCCGATTCTGATATAGAAGCTGTTTACGAGATCATGGATCTGTCAGACGATTCGTCATGTTATGAAGTAGAATGTACCCTATCTAAAGAACCGACTACATCAGAAATCGAAGCATTATCAGCTAAAATAGACGAAATAGACCGAGAAGAGATCATAACAGAAAAAGAGATACAAGAGTATGAGAAAAGAGAAGCAGACAAGAGAGAATGGGAGAAAATAGAGAACACATCGTGGAAAGATAGATACTTAGACAGTACTAAAGTTAAAAAGGTGCTGTCAACTGCTAATATACTGAATGCGTTACGAAAAAAGAATATCGATTTGAAAAAGAGGTTAGCGGAGTCGAAGAAGGAGATAGAGGTTATAGAAAAAGAGAAAATAGAGAATGTTTTAGAAGAAGGGACGATAGAACAATATAATACTTTGGAATCATCGACTGCTTACGTGGATCCTGTAAAAGAATTACCAAAAGATTTGAAAAAAGATGCGAAATTGTTACTTAGAATGTACAAAAAGTTGCTGAAGTATAATGATATTAATAAAGCTGATGATCCTAACAAGAAGAGAAAGAAGAAGAGTAAGAAAAGTAAGAAGGAGAAGAGAGAGAGTGGAGTTGTAGACGAGTCGGGTAAAGAATAGTTATTGTGTATAAGAATTATTTAATTTACTTAATAAAAGTATTTATGATATAATGATTGTATTTGATTTTATTAGATTCTGCCCGCGACTTCGCCCCCGTTCCCAATGAAATGTATATGTTATTCCATATGTTATTTGAAACCATAATCTATCCCTGTTTCAACGACGGGGACAGCAGTGTCCAGAGATTGTGGCCTTATGGCGGTGTGTTTAGACATCGCCAACGCTTTCAACTCCCTGCCCTGGAGCTGCATTTTGGAGGCAATCTATCATCGCGTGCCTACCTATCTCCGTCGAGTAATCGAGGCCTACCTGACGGACAGGTCTGTCATATACCCTGGTCACCGCGGCGAGTGGAACCGGCGAGAGATGTCGCGCGGTGTTCCGCAGGGTTCGGTTCTGGGGCCACTCCTGTTGAACATCGAGTATGACTGCCTACGGCGGCGTACGGCGCGTCGCGTGCCACGCGCGCCCCAAAGAGCCATCAGACCACCGCGGATGGGGCCCAATAGGGCTGATGTCGATACGGAGTCGCGGAGAACCTAACGGGTAACCGGGGCTCCGGCTCGACGTGCAGGAGTAGGAACGGGGTGGTTTTTAGTCAGTAAGACACTGTACCAGACGCCTCGACGACAGCAGCGACACGCCTTGAGCGCGGCAGGCCCGTGAACTATTAGTCGTTTATGATTGGTCCGTCATATTTTGAGTAAAATTAATGTTTACCCCAAACGTATAAATAAAACGAGTAGACGTTCTAATAAATCATTCTGTTCCAAACCTCACTCGCGTTTTACTTACCATCCCTTGGTAAAGTGGTGACCCCGACGAAAGTTCCTGCTTAAATACGACGAAATATCCTAGCATCGACATGACATCGGAAGAAGTCGAGACCATATCCGTCAAAGCTCGCATACCTTTATTTTGGCACGACCAACCGTCACTATGGTTTGGGCAATTTGAAACTGTCGTCAACCCGCAGAAGCCCAGCGAAGAAGCCAAATTTAGCCTAATGGTGGCCCATCTCGAAAAAATGGACGTTGAACAAATCAGCGACATTATTATGTCGAAAGACCGCACCGGAAGATACGAGGAAGCGAAGAAACGGCTACTTTCCGTGTACGAGGAATCTGGAGCGCGACAGTTGCACAAACTTCTCAACGATATGGAACTCGGCGACCAGAAGCCATCACAACTGCTCAGACGCATGCGAGAACCTGCGCGCGAGAAAGTACCCGACGCAACACTTCAAATGTTATGGCTACAGCGATTACCGATCTCAACACGAGCAGTCCTAGCAGTAAGCGAACAGAAATCACTCGACGTTCTAGCAGCAATGGCCGATAAAATGCACGAACAAGCCACAGAAATACAAACCGTGTGTTCCGTTACCTGTCAGGGTCATTCAAAATCATCACCGCTATGTGCACGCGAACAGGAAATGCACGGAGAACTGGATCTACGCGACGCCGTAATGCAACTAACGAAGGAGATAGCCGAGTTAAAAGTACAGCGCACAATGCGAGCGACGCATAGATATCGTCGTTCCGCTCATTCACGATCCCGATCACGTTCAACCGGCCGAAATAATAACAAACAGCGCACGACCATATATACCGCTACAAATACGACGCACAGTATTTACTGCAATCCACGAGATGAGTCATCCCGGTATTCGCGCCACACGACATTTGATAACGAAGCGATTTTTTTGGCCGAACATGAACGCTGATATAAACAACTGGACACGAAGTTGCATCGCTTGTCAACAAACAAAAACGCAACGACATACAGTGTCACCTCTCGAAGCCTTTCCCACTACTCACCGTTTGTCTCACATCCACATCGACATCGTTGGACCACTGCCTATATCAGATGGAAAACGGTATTGTGTGACAATGATCGACAGAACGACAAGATGGCCTGAAGCCTACCCTGTCGCTGACATAACAGCTGAAACAGTGGCCCGCGCTGTGTACGAAGGTTGGATAGCCCGCTACGGATGTCCAGAACAATTGACCAGCGACCAAGGCCGTCAATTTGAGTCCGAATTATTCAGAAACCTAATGAAGCGACTTGGAATCGAGCGCACCCGTACTACTGCTTACCACCCTCAAGCAAACGGTATGATAGAACGATTCCACCGCTCACTCAAAACTGCGCTAACAGCTCGCCTTCAAAATTCAAGCTGGACGAGCGAGCTACCGACAGTCATGCTGGGACTACGTGCAACCATAAAAAACGACACAGATATCTCCGCAGCAGAAGCACTGTATGGCCAGTCACTCAGATTACCCGGCGAAATGTTAGGTGTGAAGATAACAAAACAAACACAATCTCATTACGGAGACGTCATAACAAGTGCGATAAAAAAACTAACCGCTGCACACATTAACACCGATCGACGAACAACGTACATACCTCGCCTACTACGGACGTGTTCCCATGTGTTTATGCGTACCGATGCAGTTCGCAAACCACTCACGCACACATACAACGGCCCGCACCGAGTAATACAGCGGAATGATAAGACGTACACCATACAAGTCGATGGAAAAACAAAGAATGTCTCCATAGACCGACTAAAACCCGCATTCCTGCTAGACTCCGAACCTGAAGCCGATGCAAATCGTGACGCCGCCTACACCACGAGGACTGGAAGACGTTCGAAACCGCCAGTACGCTTCGCTGGGGGGGAGCCATGTACCAGACGCCTCGACGACAGCAGCGACACGCCTTGAGCGCGGCAGGCCCGTGAACTATTAGTCGTTTATGATTGGTCCGTCATATTTTGAGTAAAATTAATGTTTACCCCAAACGTATAAATAAAACGAGTAGACGTTCTAATAAATCATTCTGTTCCAAACCTCACTCGCGTTTTACTTACCATCCCTTGGTAAAACACTATCTCTCGCGTAACCCAGGTGGGAGAAGTCATTCGATGATTTCCCCCCCTAAAAAAGACTCCATGCTACAAGTTTAGACTAAAGATTTCGAAATATTCAAATAACCTTTGCTAAAAATCGCAGTAAGTAACTTAGTTTTTAGTCAAATTCCCATGGTGCCTACGACTGGGCTTCACTCAGTTGTACAGTCTCTTCTTTGTGCCTTCAGGCTTAATTCATTCTGTCTCCTGCAGTAATTCACCGAGGGAAGTAGAAACTATCGTTTTTTTTCTTCTCTTATAATAAATACCTATCTTCTGATTCACTTCGTTGCGGGAACCAAGACAGTTACTCATGTCCCTGGGACGCGCCGGACTTCAGTGTTCCGGTGTTTTCATGATTGTATTTTTTTATGGAATAGGAGGCAAACGAGCTTACGGATCACCTGATGGTAAGCGATCAGCGCCGCCCATGGAAGGTTTGAAGGTCGTATCGGTTCGGAAATACCGCCGACGATAGATCATTCCACAGTTTTGCTGTGCGAGGCAGAAAGCTACGTGAGAAGCGCATCTACTGTAGATCCTGGCTTACAGGAGTTGCAGCGGTTTTGAGAGATATACGGTTATCATAATCGCGGCGGCAGTGTATACCGCACAAAACTGCGGGCTCATGAGTTTTGAACATAAGTCTCCATTGCACCGCCACAGAGGGCGCGGGTGAAATCGCGTCGTGGGTCCATAGCGTTATCGTGAGGCAGATTGCACGGGATAAAATAAATAAAAACCAAATTAAATATCAACAAGATAGCATTTATTATTCAATAATAACTAAATCACAGAAGGTTATCAAAATATTTACATCTTTTTTTATAATATCTATCGTGAGACATACTAAATTAAGTAAACATCGCGGGTTACTCACGTGAATATCAGTAGGTATGTATGTTCCGCGACGTCGCCGCGACCGTGCACGCTGCTCATGAGGAAGAACCCCTCTGTGGTTCCAAACTAGTAGAGCTTCTGTTGGTGTTTCCATGCGAGTAACCCGCGATTTTTTAGTTAATTTACAACTTTAATATAATAAACATAACGATTGACATAAAGTTCAATAGAGTAATAAAATTGTATGTACATAATTATGTAATTTTCTGCTCGTGGTGGCCCGGAGTTTTAAGACGCCCGCTTCTCATGTATGAGGGCGTGAGACCTACCAACGGCAAGCACCAATATGACTTATTCCGAGTTATATGTACTTTCTAATATTATCTAGACACCAATGACAAACGGTGAAGGAAAACATCGTGAGGAAACCTGGGCTTATAATTTCTAATTATAAGTTTGAAATCGCCAACCCGCATTGAGCAAGCGTGGTGATTAATGCTCAAACCTTCTCCGTGTGAGAAGAGGCATTGCTCAGCCGACTCCTATGAACCAACCAATCAGAGCGCTGGACGAGGCTCCGTTTCAATTACTTTAAACGTAATGGAAACTTGTATTAGCTCCAGACAAGTTCTCACTCTCTGTACAAGAATTATAATTGCAAAAATACCTTTAAACCTTCATACAAAATATCTATTTATATTAAAATACCATCTACCTTATTCAGTCCAGTTATTTAGACATAAGACTCTTATGGCTGCATTCGTCTACCACTCTTAAAATATCACTTAACACACATAACATCACGCCTTTTATCCTCGAAGGGGTAGGCAGAGGTGCACATTATGCCACTGTACAATGTAACTCCCACTTTTCACTATTTACGTTATGAGTCCCATGTAATAGGGGGTGATATTATATATACCGGGCACAATTCCAGACTTCGTGCTACTACTGAGAATTTTTTTAAAAACCCAGTAATACATTGCACGACCCGGGAATCGAACCCGAGACCCCTTGCCCGGCAGTCGCACTTGCGACCACTCGGCCAACGAGGCAGTCCTGGAAATAAAAGTTATATATTATGTAAATAAAAATTAAAGTATACGGTTTTCGAGGACAGCTCGACTAGTTTCAAACTTCACCGGGACTCATAATCATAAATACACCACTGACATTTTGTTGCTTCAATAATTTCTAAGTGACATTACGTCCGTTATGATTTTAACATAATTTACCAGACGGACATTAAAAAATATTGGGAAATAACTTTATTGATGTCAGCCTTAGGAGCTTCTTTAAATTTAGGACAGGTTGCTTTTATAATAACCATCGTGAGACATACTAGATTAACTAAAACTCGCGGGTTATACACGTGCAAATACTGTGAAAGAACAATTAACGAGGAAGAACCCCTCTGTGGTTCGAAATTAGTAGAGCTTTTCTCAGTATTGGTACGTGAGTAACCCGCGATTTTTGTTGTGATGTTCTGTTTATTTTGTCAATAGTAACGTCACAGTGACTTCAATATGGCGGCTAGTATTTCGCGGTAAAATGAATAAAATCGGAATGATCCAATGGACTTGGATTGTCTATGGCTTACTCTTGAAACCAATTTTTTTATGGCATAAGCCGGTAAACGATCCGACGGATCACCTAATGGTAAGCAATCGGTGTCGCCCATGGATACCTGGAACACCAGAGGCGTTACAAGTGCGTTACCGGCCTTTTGGAGATTAGCAGTTTGAGGACCGTTGGGAGTTCAGAGATTGGGGAGATTGGGGAAGGGGAGGGTAATTGGGCCTCCGGTAACCTCACTCACACGACGAAACACAACGCAAGCGTTACTTCACGTCGGTCCAATTCCGATCGATCGACATTGGTAATGTGAAATTTCGTACTCTTGAGTTGCAACACTAGCGCCCATTGCATCCGTATTGCGTGGATATTGAATGAACCAAATAGTATTGAGTTTGTCTTTACATTCCGTACTCTGAATGCTATTGTAACAGCTACGATTGTGGTTGTATAGTGTTGGCATTGAATCATTATTGAGATTTTATTGCATTGACATTGAGATTGGTTTCAAGAGTAAGCACCCTGGTCTTAATATAATCAAGGCCTATTTCCATACAAATTAATTTTAACTATTTCTATTCACGTAATTCTACACCCTTCTTGATCTGCAGCAGTGCATTGTTTCAGTTTGTCATCGGCTTTTTCATCCGTCTATTGAAAAAAAAACAAAATAACATTATTACAAGCCTTTCGGTTTTCTACCTATGGATACATTTCGGGGAGTGTGCGGGGGAATTGCACAACTTGATTCCCCCTAGTCCTTTCCATCATCGTACCACAAGACAATCCGCGAAGCGTCATCGATTCATGGTAGATATCCCACACACACGCACGAAGCGCTTCGCTTCAAGCTTCCTTGTGCGTACTGCTAAGGAGTGGAATTCTTTGCCAGAGTCTGTATTTCCTGAAGGGTATAACCTGGGAGTCTTCAAGGCCCGAGTGAATAGGTTGCTTATGGGACGACGTGCTCCATCGTAGACCGCATCATCGCTTACCATCAGGTGAGATAGTGGGCTAACGTCGCCTCATCAAATATATATAAAAAAAAATTACATTACTTGGCGCATCTCTGTAAAATTTTTGTCGGGTGTATGATACCCGTGGGAGAAGTAGTCTTAAATATTTCACTTACCATACTGGAATCTTTAGTTTCAAGGAAGGGAGGCTGTCGACTAAATAGTTTCTTAAAACCGAAGCGAGGTTTTGACGGAGACCCTTGCACTTGTGGCGCCATCTAGTTGTAAGGGAAGCAAAACTATACATATACAACTGTATTTACAAAACTAAACTAAATTTTTAAAAACTAGACTGCCTCGTTGGCCGTGTGGTCGCAAGTGCGACTGCCGGGCAAGGGGTCTCGGGTTCGATTCCCGGGTCGGGCAAAGTAATACTGGGTTTTAAAAAAAATCTCAGTAGTAGCACGGAGTCTGGAATAGTGCCCGGTATATGGCAATAGGCTCACCCCCTATTACATGGGACTCATAACATAAATAGTGAAAAGTGGGTGTTACATTGTACAGTGGCATAACGTGCACCTCTGCCTACCCCTTCGGGGATAAAAGGCGTGATGTTATTATGATGTTATGTGTAGTTTTGAAACCGTGTCATTTGTCGGGGGCATGTCACAGAAGTCATAAAGGTACAATGTAGGAGAAAGTTTCGGGCCAATAGTTAAAAATACGACTATAACAATTCGTTTAAGTTCGACAGTATTTCAGAATAAGCGACAGCAATGTTTCTTATTGGAGTTTTATGGAATTAGGAATAATATCAATTACGTGTTTGAGTTTGTGTGTGTTAAGCCGTGTTATAAAACTAGTTATAAGACGGCGGCGTTTAGTTCGCACTTACGGATTTCCGTAATTTACAGAAAAATTAAAAAAAAAAATACCTACCATTTTTTTATTGATTCGGACTTAGAATCGATAGCCGGCGCGCTTTAAAACAACACCCTTGTATACAAGCTATTTATAATACTACTAGTAAGATTATCAAAATACTAAAAAACACTCACGTTACTCCCCGCACTCCCCGCCGGTTCCTCAGTAATCCCCAGCTCTGCCACCTTCTCGTTAATCCCCATTTCTGCCACTTTCCCATTAATCCCCGAACTTGGGCAGGAACAAACGCCCGTGCATTTACACTCTATAGGGGTATCAGCTGAAATACGAAGTTAGAGATTATTATACTAGGTACTGCTACGACGTCTGTCTGTCCCTATGTATGCTTATATCTTTAAAACTACGCAACGGATATTGATGCGGTTTTTTAATAGATAGAGTGATTCTTAAGGAAGGTTTATATGTATAATACATGGATATTGCACCCGTTTGAAGCCGGGGCGGGTCGCTAGTAATATATATACCTGTAACAGCTTCATAATAATTGATACTGGGTGTCTGTGTGTCCTTCGGCGGTCTATACCAGCGACCAGTCGATAGATATAACTTGATTTCTTCAGCGCGTTGCATGTATCTAAAAAATATTACTTATTAAGCTTCATAGATAATATTAATAAACAATCTGAACCCTATTTATGTTATAACTTTAAGTTTTAAATAACATAATATAACATCACGCCTTTTATCCCCGAAAGGGTAGGCAGAGGTGCACATTATGCCACTGTACAATGTAAAACCCACTTTTTACTGTTTATTTTACGAATCCCATGTAATAGGGGGTGAGTCTTTTGCCATATACCGGGCACAATTCCAGACTCCGTGAATTCTTTGCCCGACCCAGGAATCGAACCCGAGACCCCTTGCTCGGTAGTCACACTTGCGACCACTCGGCCAACGAGGCAGGCATGTATAATAGATAGATGTATTAATAAACTATGTAGCTTCTACCCGCGACTTCGTACGCGCAATCCAGTTTTCTCCCGTTCCCGTAGGCTTTTTAGGAATGTATCTGTCTTAAGAACCTTCTAATAATAACAAACACAACACTAAAAAGAATTAGTGAAATCGGTCCAGCCATTCAAAGTCAAAGTCAAATATTTCAATTACGCCAGGAAGGCACATTTGAACGTCAAAACAAAATATTTATATCACTACATAGTATAAAACAAAGTCGCTTTCTCTGTCTCTATATCCCTTTGTATGCTTAAATCTTTGAGAACACGTCGCGCATCTCACTGACGTCGCCGCGACCGCGCACGCTGCTCATGAGGAAGAACCCCTCTGTGGTTCGAAACTAGTAGAGCTTTTCTCAGTATATTCACGTGAGTGACCCGCGATTTTACTAAATCAATTAATTATTATGTTTTTCGGTTTACTCATGTAATGATAACAGTAGCAACGACAGTCACCGCGTCGCGGGCCGCGAAATGTTGCTCATGAATATGAGCTCTAGCATCGCTTGAAACTAGTCGAGTTCCTCGTCAAATAATTACGTGAGTACGATATCCCTTACCTGCTGAGTTTCCCAGCTAACGCGGCGCGGCGCAAAGTATCAGGTTCACAAGACACACACGGTACTAAATACACCAAGCTCTGCTTATACCCTTCGAACGCGCCGCTATAATCCCCAGCACTGTCCAATTCTATCGCTCGTTTGATTATGTTCACCGCCTGTGTCGAAGAGAAAATTATTTAATTAAAATTATATTATCATCGTTATTTATACATGTTTATTTAAAAATGTAATATTGCAAAGTAGATTATGTCTATTAGTTGAATAAACAATTTTTAGTGTATTTGGATGATTTTTGTCATAATCCCCACACTTGGCATAGTACTTGGGGATTAAGAAATGTTAATGACATAAGACATAGGGACATAGAGGTAAAGGCAGTGATCAATGGTGATTCGTGTTTTGTGTGTGACAAGATCGATTCGACGACTATAGATAGACAAGCCAGTAATAGTGATTATTACTATTCTATGCTTTGTTTCTTCATATCCTGTGAAATAAATGTTCTTCGTCCATTTATCGTCATAATAATTATCTGTAATTGACATTTCGAGGAAATTTTCCATAATCCCCACACTTGACAAACATCTTGGGGATTAACGAAATACAGCTAGTATTAAAATAAAAACTAAGTTTACACATACTATTTAAGTAATACAGACCTTTTCATAATTCTCTTTAGTTGGCATATGTTCTAGGTCTAAATATTCGTCGTTGAAGAAGTCTTCATACGTGATCCTCTTGTCAGGGTCGTGTTGTAGGAGGCCGAATAGGAGCTTCTTACACCCAGGGGAAATAGACGCGTTTCTGGGTAGCTGTTGGGGAAAATTGTAAAGTAAAGAAAAAAAAAATAGTTAAAGAAATCCTTACTAATATTATTAATCGGAAAGTAAGTTTGATTGTTTGTTCCGCTTTTACGCCGTAACTACTAAACCGATTGCTTTTGCTGTGCAGACGTAAAGTTAGAAGTCCGGATTAAATAATAGGGTACTTATTATCCCGGAAAAATTTTATATTCTTGAGGGAAAACGAAATTATTTGTATAGATGGCGCTGTGTATTGGTATATGTCACATAGGCTACTTTTTATCCTTTTGTGACGCGAGCGAAGCCGCGGGTAAAAGCTAGTTAAAAATATGTCGAAGAGTAACCACTTCCGTGCTGTTTCAAACTTCAGCTTATAAAATATTGGTATTAATATTTTTTTTTATAGCATAAGCCGGTAAACGATCAGACGGATCACCTGATGGTAAGCAATCGGCGCCGCCCATGGAGACCTGAAACACCAAGGCGTTACAAGTGCGTTACCGGCCTTTTGGAAATTGGGATTTTGAGAATTGTGGAGGATTCAGGGATTCGGGAGACTAGGGAGGGGGGTAATTGGACCTCCGGTAACCTCACTCACACGACGAAACACAACGCAAGCGTTGTTTCACGTCGGTTTTCTGCTCGGCCGTGGTATCACTCCGGTCGAGCCGACCCATTCGTGCCGAAGCATGGCTCTCCCACACTTAAAGCTCCCACGCTTCCGGAGTCCTTAGTCTTAGTGATAATATGGCTCGGTCTACACTGGTCTAATAGTCCAGGTATGGCCACCATAGGCAGTTATTAATGATAGCTAAAGTGACATTTTTTAAACTGACCTCTATCGCAGCTTGTTTCTGTATCTTGTCGATCAGCTCTTTCATGGAGACCGAGGAGTAGGGGGCGCGGCCGAACAGGCACTCATACATTATTACACCTGGAAATAACATAATATCACGTCTTTTATCCCCGAAGGGGTAGGCAGAGGTGTATATTATGCCACTGTACAATGTAACACCCACTTCATACTATTTACGTTATGAGTCCCATGTAACAGGGAGTGAGCATATTGCCATATACCGGCACAATTCCGGACTCCGTGCTACTATTGAGAATTTTTAAAAACCCAGTAATACTTTGCCCGACCCGGGAATCGAACCCGAGACTGCCTCAGCCAACGAAGCAGTCCTGGAAATAAAAGTTATATTTTATGTAAATATAAATTAAAGTACACGGTTTTCGAGGACAGCTCGATTACTTTCAAACTTCACCGGGACTCATAATCATAAGCTTCTTTTTGAGGGACGATAATCATCCAATGACTTCTCCCACCCTGGGTGAGGCGACAAGGAGTGTCGGAGCCACGTTAACCCGCTAGGCCATCCGCAAGGCTATGGGTATTATCTGTATATGAAGATTTGCAATAATCCCCACGCATGGCAGGAAGGTTTGAGGTCACAGTTTTGCAATGTGGGACATCCTATAATAAGTATTAAGTGTTTTATATAAGGTACTGTTGCAAATTCTTTGCCAAACTCGCCTTGACCAAGTATGGTGATTAATGGTCATTCTTTCTCCGTGTGAAAAAAGGCTCAGCAGTGGCCACTAATAGGCAGATGATGATGTATGATGGTACATACCGACGCTCCAGAGGTCGACCCTGGCATCATACTGCCCGGCCAGCATCTCCGGCGCCATGTACAGCGGGGACCCGCGGACTGAGCGCTGCACGGCGTCCGTCATGTACGACGCGAAACTGTACATATGCATACAATATGATATATTTAAGATAATAGATAATGTTCTTTGACGATAGCAGTTCTAACCTAACCGAATTTAACAAAAATGCCTGACATTTACTTTCTTTAACTTATTTTTTTGACTAGCTTTTACCCGCGGCTTCGCTCACATCACAAAAGGACAAAAAGTAGCCTATGTGACATAAACCAATACACACAGCGCCATCTATACCAATAATTTCGTTTTCCCTAAAGAATATCAATCTCTATTATTTAATCCAGACTTCTAATTTCACGTCTGCAAAAATTCAAAGCAATCGGTTAAGTAGTTATGGCGTGAAAGTGGAACAAACAAACAAACAAACTCACTTTCCGATTAATAATATTTTTTTTTGTTTTTTTAAAAAAAACGTTGCCCCACACTAGGATTTTCTCCTGTGTCGTGGGTGAGTTTACAAGCATACAAGTTCACATACACATGACACCCAGACCCGAAACAACAATTTGTGGATCACACAAAGTGTTGTCCCGTGCGGGAATCGAACCCGCGACACGTTGCACGGCAGCCGGTTGCCCAGCCACCGCACCAACCGTGCAGTCATTTTAGTAAGGATATATATTTGATGGGCTGACGTTTGCCCACTATCTCGTCTGGTGGTAAGCGATAATTCGGCCTACGATGGAGCACGTCGTCCTATAAGCAACCTATTCACTCGGGCCTTGAAGACACCCAGGTTATACCCTTCAGGAAATACAGACTCTGGCAAAGAATTCTACTCATTAACAGTATGCACAATAGAAAGAAGAAAGATCATCCATAGAACCATGACAATACTGCAGCGCCATCTATACAATGAAATTTTCGGTTGTCAAAGGAGTAGTGTTGCTAGACCTATCTATACATATAATCAATATACATAAATTAAATTGAAGTGTCTGTTTGTAATATTGAAATAACCGCATATGAATGCTTACTATAATATAATATAATATTATAAATCTGAAAGTGAGTTTGTTTGTTTGTTTGTTCCACCTTCACGCCGTAACTACTCAACCGATTGCTTTGAATTTTTGCAGACGTAAAGTTAGAAGTCCGGATTAAAAAATAGGGTACTTTTTAACCCGGAATAAATTGATGTTCCCGAGGAAAAACAAAATTATTGGTATAGATGGCGCTGTGTGTATTGGTATATGTCACATAGGCTACTTTTTATTCTTTTGTGACGCGAGCGAAGCCGCGGGTAAAAGCTAGTATGAATATACATACGATGCATACACCAAAATATTGTTTTTCTGTTTGTTTGTTCTGACAAATCTCTGAAATGGCTGGACCGATTTTGACAGGACTTTCATGGGCAAATTGCTGATGCCCTGTCTTAAGCGCGTACAGCTAGCGTATAATCTTAATAATAACACGTTGATCGCCATGGGGGCCGACATATGGGTCATAATAGCGTGGCGGAGTCACCCTCAACAGTTTTCTCTCTACTTACCCAAAATCGGCCACTTTCAGTATGTACTTCCCATCAGATCCCTTGTGGAGCAATAAGTTGTGAGGTTTTAAGTCCATATGTACCACTCCTGGAACAAGAAAAGAAACACATTTTCAGAGTCGATCATGTCTGTTAATAGCCTTATGGTATTTTTTATGGCATAAGCCGGTAAACGAGCAGACGGATCACCTGATGGTAAGCAATCGGCCCCGCCCATGGACACCTGGAACACCAGAGGCGTTACAAGTGCGTTACCGGCCTTTTAGGGAATTAGAAGTTTGAGGATCGTTGGGGATTCAGGAATTTGGGAGATTGAGGAAGGGGAGGGTAATTGGGCCTCCGGTAACCTCACTCACACGACGAAACACAACGCAAGCGTTGCTTCACGTCGGTTTTCTGTGAGGCCGTGGTATCACTCCGGTCGAGCCGGCCCATTCGTGCCGAAGCATGGCTCTCCCACACTTAAAAAAAACAACAGAAGTGGATGTTCTATAACATCCACTGTTGATCAGTTGTCGTGTCGTGGTGGCCTGGAGGTTTAAGACGCCCGCCTCTCATGCATGAGAGTGCGGATTTAAAACCTACCAACGGCAAGTACCAATGTGACTTTTTCCGAGTTATCTGGGCGCCGTTAAACTGCCCATTAAAGATGGAAAATGGTAACATGGAAATTGTTGATGGTTACATGGAAATACACAGCGGTTCTGGCGATAGATTGATGCAATGGTGTCTTGAACCTTTGTGTACCCTCAGCGGCCAAGTCACACATCATCACTACATAGTATAAAACAAAGTCGCTATCCGCCGTCTGTCTGTCCCTATGTATCTTTAAAACTACGCAACGGATTTTGATGCGGTTTTTTTAATAGATAGAGTGATTCTTAAAGAAGGTTTTTATGTATAATACATGCATATTGCACTCGTGCGAAGCCGGGGCGGGTCGCTAGTTAATTATAATAATAAAGATATAGCAGTTAGAACCGTAAAATTGGCACGACTTGTGTCTAGATTTCATTAGTTTTTAGAGATAAAGAGCGGGTCCATCGAGACTTGGCTGGTTTTTTACAGAATGTTATTGGTTGGATATGTACTTTCTAAAGTTATCTAGACACCACTGACAAACGTGAAGGAAAACATCGTGAGGAAACCTGGGCTTATCTTAGCAATTGCTAATTATAAGTTTGAAATCGCCAACCCGCATTGAGCAAGCGTTGACTGTGTAAGAAGTTGGTCAGCAGTGGTGTTTGATCAACTATGTTATAAGTCCCATGTAATTTGAAGTTTATTGAGAGCTTACAGCATAATATATTGTTATACGCTGGGAACAATTTCAATCATTAAGAGTCTTTTCAAAAATAATTTCCAAAATAAATATACGAACCTTTTTCTATTAGGAATTTCAGCGCTGAAGCCAGCTGTTGTAAAAAGTAGCGTACCTGGGAAAACAATATTTTTTATGCAAAGTCGTTGATAAAAACGTGGATACAATATCCTGAAACAACGACTGTATCACCTGGCTGCTATTGGCTATGTGCAAAGCGAGTAGCGGACAGACAACGACCGCAGCGCACAACACGGCAGAAATTGGAAACAAATGCGGATGATGCAAACCCGGTTTTTATTATTCTACTAGCTTTTACCCGCGGCTTCGCTCGCGTCACAAAAGGATAAAAAGTAGCCTATGTGACATATACCAATACACACAGCGCCATCTATACCAATACTTTTTTTCCTCGGGGATATCAAATTTTTCCGGGATAAAAAGTACCCTATTATTTAATCCAGCCTTCTAACTTTACCTCTGCAAAAATTCAAAGCAATCTGTTCAGTAGTTACGTCGTGAAAGCGGAACAAACAAACAAACTCACTTTCCTATTTATAATATAAGTAAGGATAAGGAAGTAAGGATGACTTACCTGTTTCTCAGCGACTCTCCCGTATCTGTGTATATATTTTGAGAGGTCGCCGCCGCAACAGTATTCCGTTATTATGTAGATATTTCTGCAAATACATTATATTATTGCAGGATATTGTACGCAGGTCGCTTCCACCTCACGGTGTGTAGACATTGGGGGAGGACTGTGGGAGGTAGTCGATGTCTTTGACTGACATTTTTTACGATATCTACTCAACTAAAGAATTTCTCGATGACAAAAGCCGGTAAACGAGCAAACGGATCACCTGATGGTAAGCAATCGGCGTCGCCCATTAACACCTGGAATACCACAGGCGTTACAAGTGCGTTACCGGCGTTTTGGGGATTAGGAGTTTAAATTACGGAAATCCGTAAGTGCGAACTACACGCCGCCGTCTTGCTTTATAACGCGGCTTAACACACACAAACTCAAACACGTAATTGATATTATTCCTAATTCCATAAAACTCCAATAAGAAACATTGCTGTCGCTTATTCTGAAACACTGTCGAACTTAAACGATTTATTATAGCCGTATTTTTAACTATTGGCCCGAAACTTTCTATTACATTGAACCTTTATGACTTCTGTGACATGCCCCCGAGAAATGACACGGTTTCAAAACTACACCTTGTTTAAGTAGAAAATAAGTGATTCGGTAGAATGTATGAGACATTAATTAAGATATTGCATTGTAACTACATTGTGACAAATAAATGTTTCTTTCTTTCTTTTTTTTTTGGATTTGGATTGGGTAGTATCCAGGGTATTAAAATTAAAAATCTAATTAGTCCGTCAGTTAGACAATAATAATAGTCTTTTGGGCACTCTACCTCACGGTAGCGACGAGGAAAATGTTTTCTTTGATGCCTTATGATTTATTTTTATTATTATTGTTTTTTAAGGTGTAAATATTTTAGTTTTAATTATTTATTTCAATAAGAAATGATTATGCTTAAATAAATTCATTAACATAAAAAAACTAAATATTAGACACGTATTTTTTATTTTCTCGTATTAAGTTGCAATACTTAAATAAAATGGCGCTAGGTTTAGGAGTGGGAGGTCGTTACGTCATAACGTGCTACAAAATGTGGCACGCTGTGACGCTGACGATATATTTCAAATTAATATATCGTCGAAAGCATTTAATTTTGTAAGAAAAGAAAAAATGCGTGTCTAAAGTTTTAAATTAATGCACCAGACGGACATTAAAATAATTGAAGAAACTGCCCTATAGTCATTCGATAATGACTTCGAGTGTTTTATATTTTTAATAGCTTTTACCCGCGGCTTCACTCACATCACATAAGGATAAAAAGTAGCCTATGCGACATATCGATATACACAGCGCCATCTATACCAACACTTTTGTTTTCCCTCGGAATATCAAATTTTTCCGGGATAAAAAGTACCCTATTATTTAATCTGGACTTCTAACTTTACGTCTGCAAAAATTCAAAGCAATCGGTTTAGTAGTTACGGCGTGAAAGCGGAACAAACAAACAAACTTACTTTCCGATTTATAATATTAGTAAGGATAGGTACTCACTTATCATCCCAGGTGAAGTTCTTCATATGAACGATGTGTGGGTGTGTCAGTTTCTTCAGCAGACTGATCTCCGTAATGAGGTTGTCCACCGCGGTACCGGAGTACTTCACACGGGATTTGTCGACACATTTTATTGCTACAACAGTTCGAGCGCCCACCTGTGGGAGGAAATAACAGTTTTTACAACAACTTCAAAATTCTGTCTCCTGCAGTAATTCACCGAGGGAAATGGAAACTATAGTTTTTTAAATAATAATAATATCTTCTGATTCACTTCGTTGCGGGAACAAAGACAGTTATTCATGTCCCTGGGACGCGCCGGACTTCAGTGTTCCGGTGTTTTCATGGTTGTATCTACTGTAGATCCTGGCGTACAGGAGTTGCAGCGGTTTTGGGAGGCTGTGGCGGGCTTGTCCCAATAATAAAAAAAAACAACTTCAAAAAAGACAGAAGGTTCTCATTTTGACAGTATGTATGTATGTATGCATGTATTACTAGGTTATTAAAAAAATCTCAGTAGTAGCACGGAGTCTGGAATTGTGCCCGGTATATGGCAATAGGCTCACCCCCTATTACATGGGGCTCATAACATAAATAGTGAAAAGTGGGTGTTACATTGTACAATGGCATTACCTATTGGTTTACCCTTTCGGGGATAAAAAGGCGAAATGTTTTGTTTTTATAACTTGAGAGTTTTAGCTTAATAGTCATTATAACTGGTTTTTACAGCTCGGAATACAGACTTAAGGAAAAGTGATATATTTGTATAGATATTGAAAACAATTGTGATTCATTAATTTAAACAATAAGTATGAATCAATGTTTGTCACTTAACAAATAAATACAGTTTAGACTTTAAAACTATCCATGGAGGACTTGGAATGTATATCAAATCTAATCAAATGTGTTATTTTTATTAAAATATATAAAAATAAGTCAGGTTTTCCTTCCTGACGCTATAACTCCAGAACGCACGAACCGATTTCCACGGTTTTTTATATAGCCTTAACTAATATTAGCATGAATTATAGCCTCTGCCGGCAGCTTCACACCAATTTCAGTCAGATAAAAAAGCGTATGTTATTACAGACAATTATCTACCCATGTTTCAAATTTTATCCCGTTCCCTTCAGCCGTTTTGAAGTGAAGATGTAACAAACAAACAAACTTACTTCTTTTCGCATTTGTAATATTAGTAGGATGTTCTACTCTATATTCTAAACTATATATACAATGCAACATTTCAATAAGATACAGCATAAAGAGGTAAGAACCTAACTTACTTTCGAATTTCCATTCAAACAGTCAAATAAGTTTTTTTTTTTAATTACAATGTTAAAATGTTAAGTCAACAAATAAATACAGTTGTAACTGGATGTAACCTCTTTGTTGATAACTAATCTCACAGCAAACAGCTGTAACTAACTTAAATATAAATCACTAACAATATTTTTTTATTTTACACCTCAATTTTACGCGATTTAACTTTTTAACCCGTATTTATTAAATATTTAACATTTATTCCATCAGTTTAGCATTTTATTAAAGTTCATAGGAAGTAAACAAAGAGGAAAATAGTACTTTTTTGTCTTTATACGTAATTGTAACTTTCTATGCAGTATTTACCTTCGTATATGCCTTGTAAACAGTGGAATAACTGCCTGTGCCAATCTTTTCTGTCACCACGTACCCGTCGATTTTAGGAAATGCCATTTTGGTAATTAAATGTTTAGTTATCAATTATTTTTAGTCATAATTCTGAATCAAAATAAGCATTCGAAGATTTTTTTGATAACAAAGTCGTATTGGAAATGTCATTACTGTCAGTAGTGTCAGTCAGTTCAATTGTAAATAAAATAGTTGCTAGTTGAATAGTTATTTTGGAAGTTGGTAGTTTTAGTAGGTTTTAGCAAGAAATATTTTTATTTAATAAAAGGTGTTTCTATCATGAAATGGTTATCGTGGAGTGTAAATATATTTTTGTAATCTATTTGTGACTATACAAGTCAATAATTTAATGTTAATATTAAAGTATTTTCATGTTAGGTAAATTGTGCAGCAGATACACAAATATATATTATGGTTCAAGTTGTTTCACTTACATTGTAGTGTGTGAAAGATCTACTAGAGGGCACTATTTAATTCATCACTCTTTAGGGATTTAAGAAACAAAATTGGTTTTATTGGGAAATTAATCCTTGTTGACTGATAAAATACGAAATTGGGGTTGGACAAGAGCCAACTCAAGTAACCTGTGTTTTATAGTAGACCTTATTTATTAAAAACTAGGCGTGAATATATATTATTTGTGATTTTGGCTATTTAATTTTTCAAATTTGTACCTAATTGGGTCGGTTTGGTTGCCACAAATTGTTACAGTTCATGTCCAAAGTATTAACACAAACTACAGGCCAATTTCCTTGGCGACCATTGTTGCCAAGGTGCTTGACGGTGTGCTCAACTCACATTTCACCAAACATATACAGCTACACGATGCCCAGTTCGAATTCCGGCCTGGGCTGTCAACAGAAACAGCCATTTTTAGTTTGAAACACACTGTTAAGTACTACACAGACAGGCGTACTCCTGTGTACGCCTGTTTTCTAGATCTTAGTAAAGCCTTCGATTTAGTTTCTTATGATGTTCTGTGGCAGAAGCTGGCAGGGACTGGGGTGCCGCCGGAGTTAGCGTCGCTTCTGAGGTATTGGTATCTCAATCAGAAAAATAATGTGAAGTGGGCGGATGAACTTTCGGATGCGAGCGGGTTGGAGTGTGGGGTGAGGCAGGGTGGTTTGAGCTCACCCTTGCTCTTCAACCTGTACGTAAATGCTCTGGTTGAGAAGCTCGGTGGCATGCATGTCGGCTGTTATGTTGATGGTGTCTGCTGTAACAACTTCAGCTATGCAGACGACATGGTGCTGCTGGCTCTGTCGATTGGGGCTCTCCGGAAGTTACTCGCAGTTTGTGAGTCTTTTGTGGCCTCACATGGACTTTCTTATAATGTGAAAAAGACTGTCTACATGGTTTTTAAATCGGATCACAAGAATCCGCCTACTCAGTCGATTGTCTTGAACGGTGTCTCTTTGAATAGAGTAACTCAATTTAAATATCTCGGGCATTGGGTTACCGATGATTTAAAAGATGATGTTGACATGGAGGGGGAACGCAGAGCATTGTCAGTTCGGGCGAATATGTTGGCACGCAGATTCTCTCGTTGTACAGACGCAGTTAAAATAACATTGTTCAAGGCGTATTGCACCTCACTGTACACGGGAAGTCTGTGGGTTAACTACGCCCAGAGAGCGTACAATGCTCTGCGGATCCAGCATAATAATGCGTTCAGGGCACTGTTGCGGCTTCCACGTTTCTGTAGTGCGTCAGCAATGTTTTTTGATGCTCATACCGACGGATTCGCTGCGTTATGGCGCAAAAAGACTGCATCCCTCATCAGTCGCCTGCGTGGAAGTCGCCACGGTATTCTGACTGCCATAGCCAGTAGACATGACTGTCCATTGATGTGGAAATTAATGCAGCGGACTAAGTCCCTGTTTACTATTACTTATTAATATTGCACCTAAATAGTTATGTAGTTATGTATGATTGTGTTCTTCCCTTACTATTAATTTGAGGGATCTCAGTTACCTGAATAAATAAATATTATTATTATTATATATGTCTTTACCAATCACGGGACCACAGGGTCCCGGTCATTTGGGAGGCGTACGAGGGGCCGAAGCCAACTGCGCAGAGGCCCTTTAGACAACTTTAATATAAATGTAATGGAGACACAAACCGGCGACTATCCCTGTGTGCACTATGGAAATGTACCCAAAGACAGTCCCCGGTTAGTGTAGGACTATTGTGAATAATGAAAAAAAAGGTAGGGCTATGGTAGCTATGGTTGCTATGGACTGGTAAATTGGGAACTATGGATGACTATGGCACCTGCCGAAACAATGTAATTTTTACACGTAAAAATGGCAGGCGGAGACTCGCCAACTCACCGACCGGGCCCCGGGAATGGTTGCTAGATATAGCAACAGAGGGGCAATGAGAATGTGAGTGGCTGAAGGGTTAAGAAACTACCACCGCTTTCTACTCAGATCATCTGCTCCAGCCGAAGCCTCCTGCATCCCTGGCCCACTCGCGACTTACGAATAGTTTCTTACCCTCCGAGCAGGTTCACTGCTCTCGCGACTCCACTCTGGACGGCCAATGAAGGCAAGCCAGAGGTGGGAGACCTGTTCCTTGTCATCTTTCACTCCAGCCAGCCAATTAAGGCAAGCCGGAGAAGAAGGAACGGTGACTTCTCCCTGGAGCACTCGGGATGATGGTAGCCCGCGGGATCGCTAATGCCCGTCACCTCGCCTCAAGGTGCCCTGCGGGCTTATTATTATTATCATAACTGTTATTGTTAAATTTTTACTGCCCTCAGATTGTTATTTTTTTTAAGTATTAATATAGCTGTAGGCGTAACTCAACTTAACTTTGGACTTGTTTCAACACCTTGCCGGAATCTGTGTTTCCCGACAAATACTTATAGCTTGGATGTCTTCTTAGTTCCGAGTGAACAGGTAGGCATGTTCTACCGTCAGCCACATCATTGCTTACAACGAGGCGAGATGGTGGCCAAAAGTTGACCTATCAAGTATAAAAAAAACAAAAATATCTTAAAATACACCAAAAATCGAATAGTATCTCTAAATCAAGCAAAGCAGTATCAAAATGTAAACCTTGTTTGTATCGTAAAAAGGTTGAGTTGTCAACTGCCAATTACGAGTAAGTGTGGAACAGAATATTAAACATACTCCCCGTAGTACAGCAGGTCAAGTGACACCAATCTGTTAATTTTTTACATTGGATTTTCGACCTTGTATACCAAAATTTTAAAGTTGAAAATGTATTAAAGAAATCTAACTGAAGGGAGTCGCTTTACCTGCCTGGCTGGTCGGGCATAGAGACACAAAAGTTTCTTCAAGGATTTTGTTAAAGTTGATATAAAATACATAACGTTGCGCTTTTTAATCTCCGAAAGGGTTGTTAGAGGTGGACATTGCACATTAATTAACTAACTAATTTTAATTCATTCGTTCAACTTTCATTGACTTAATGATTTGATTTGAAAATCTTAATAAGACTCATTAATATATCGCCTGACCCGTTTGTAATTGTATAACACACACGTACCATCATGTCGTTTATCCCTGAAGGCGTAGGTAGAGGTGCAAATTACGGCACTTAATGCCATTGTATAATGTAACACCCACTTTTCACCATTTATGTTATGAGACCCATGTAATAGAAGGTGAGCCTATTGCCATATACTGGGCTAATTTCCGGACTCCGTGCTACTAACGAGATTAAAAAAAACCAGTAATACTTTGACCAACCCGGGAATCGAACCCGAGACCCCTTGTCCGGCTTTCGCACTTGCGATCACTCGGCTAACGAAATTGCCGAACATAATTATCATGTAATGTGAAAACTTTATTTAATTTTATAGGTCTACTTACCTAATGAAATGAACATGAAATATAGGTTTTGCCTACCCTAAAAGCACATAGAAGTGATAATGCTAGATTATGTAAATACTGGTAAATACTCAGTAATTATAGTGCAAAACTTCAAACGATGAACCCATGGTACCTTTTCTATATATTCCTGTGCATATAATATGTATATGTCGGATAACGTCCTCTTTAGTACGTTTGAGGAAGTGGACTAAAATAACACTATTAGTATGCGATGGGTTTCCTCTCACTTGTGCCAAACATAACACCATAGGTAGGTACTTATTTTCCTAAGGGGACGAACTAATCATATAGTTTTGACTTTTGTGTTGGTTTATTAACCGTTATTAAACTTTTGATGGGTTTTTATTGGCTTTACAGTCGCAAGGTGTAGACAACCATGCAATTACCAACTAGCTTTATTAATTGACATTGCCTTTCATTAATTTACCGAAATCGTATTAATAAAATAAAGTTATTTTATTCTAATAAAGTTTTTGAACTGGCAATTTAGATAAATAAAATTGGTTATATGGCAACTTTAATTTACTATAATTTAATTTATTTTTATATTATTTATTTACCTGATTCAGAAATCGAACTCGAAAACTCTTGCTAAGAGATAGCAGTAACCACACTTGTTAATATCTTTATCTATTAGACAGTTATATAGTTTTTAGCTAGTTTTTTAATGGCATAAGCCGGTAAACGAGCAGACGGATCACCTGATGGTAAGCAATCGGCGTCGCCCATGGACACCTGGAACACCAGAGGCGTTACAAGTGCGTTACCGGCCTTTTGGGGATTAGGAGTTTGAGGATCGTTGGGGATTTAGGAATTGGGGAGATTGGGGAAGGGGGGGTAATTGGGCATCCGGTAACCTCACTCACACGACGAAACACAACGTAAGCGTTGCTTCACGTCGATTTTCTGTTACGCCGTGGTATCACTCCGTTAGTAAATGTTATTTTAGCATAAAACCATGTTAAATATTATAAATAACGTATCGATTGTAAACTTAAATAACTCCACTCACTCCCCCGGGGACAAGGTGTGATGTTGTGTGTAATTTACGGTTTCATTTCGTTTTCAGGTGCAATAATACCTGAATGTATGACGTCATAAATTGTTATGAGGCTGATTGCTGGCTTTTTACAGCAATGTATTTATATTTACCCACTGTGTGAATATTTACTGTTTTGT